CTCTGATCTTTGTAACATTATCACGCAACTTTGTCCTTTAACTGCACCGAATCACCAAACCACAAAGGATTACTCATACTCTAGTGTCGATTATCTTTGATTATGATTTACCCCTTTTCATACATTTGTTTGATTTGCTTAAACACTGTTCGTTAACCTTTTAAGTCAAACAAAAATAAGCAAGAATTTCTTTAAAATATAGAACCAACTTTAAGAGGACTTTGTTACGAGATCACTTTGCGAGCAATAAAGGCAAAAAAGATAAAAAGAAAACTTGCTCCTCGTGCCTTATGCCGCTTATATTAGTTATACTTCTACGATTGAACCCCCTTGAATAAAATCCTGGGTTCGCCACTGAGATCAGCGCATATAACAACAGAAATTATCCAACTTAATTTGCGGGATAGAATGTGATTGGATTCTTGAGGTTATTCCTGTTAGGTTTTTAGTTCAAAAAAAGAGTAAATGAAAAATGGATGGGAATTTTTTTTGAATTTTCCTCCTTTGAAAAGGAACATTGTCCCATATTGGAGGAGGAAAGCTCGTTTGTTGAGTATATATATAATTAGACTTCTTATAGATTTTAAAGAGTTGAGAAGAAGGCAAGCCTCGAGCTGTGGCAAATGATCTGATGGATTAATTTTTTGGAAAGTTGCACCTCTTCGTTTGAATCCAATGTTGGCTGTAGATATCTGGCTATTCTCTCAGATTTTCCTTACGAAAATTCTGAAATCTCGTCTTCTTCTCTGCATTGTTTTCTTACAAAAACAGATAAAGTAAGTGTGATTCACCGCCGCTATTTGTGTTCGCTGAAGCACTGGGGTTTGAAGAACCACTAAACCAGTGTGTAATCCCTTCTATCCTAAAGGAAATAATCTTAAACATCGGATACTAGGAGTGAATTAATTTCCTTGAGAAAAACACTGTAAATTCAACAAGTTCGAATTAATTTCTGCTTCTTCTATACTTCTGTTTTATATTGTTTCTCTTTCCGTAATTATTTACAGTTTTTCTTAACAATTCCCGGACAAGTCAAGATATGAAGATCATTGAATAGGCAATGTGGCATACTGTCATCTGTAATATCATTTTTGCTTAGATCTAATCTCCGGATATTCTTTAGTCTACACGCTGCGTTAAAATGTGTTACAACAAAACCAAGATAAAAACTATTTGCCTAATAAAAATTAATTAGCTAGGCAGGCTGCAGCAACGTAAAGAACTAAGTTAATCACCTTTAATTTGTGCCTACAGGCTCAATGGTCAAAATATATTTTACTCATCATATTTGTTGTTCACTTCTTGTTTTGCTCTGAGTATTTCTGATACATAAACTCTGGAATTCAATCATGGTGAACGTTAATAAAAAGCTAAATTGATTCTCCAAATTCAAGGTAAACCAATTGCCTTTATATTGAACAATGCTAGAACAAATTTCTCTATGTTATGAACAATAAAAGAAGAAGAAGAATATTGCAGAGAAAAGTAGAGAGAGAATTCTTATTGATTTTTGGGATGAATTACAATGGAATAGAAACCCTCTATTTATAGGGAAAGGGTGACTTAGCCACGAAGTAATAAATCCTAGAATTTCCCTAAATATAGACATTCACCATAAATAAAATTCTATTTATAACACTCCCCCTTGAATGTCTATTCAACAGATAATGTGCCTCGTTAAAACCTTAACTAAAATAAAACCCAGTGGGAAAAAAATTCTAGAGAAGGAAAAAGAGTACACATATCTAATAATACGCCTTTTGGTTGCCTCGTTAAAAACCTTGCAAGGAAAACCCAGTGGGACAAAACCTTGTAAGTACAAAAGATATTATTATTGATGTGCGGTGTATATTATGATTAATACCATAACGCACAAAGATGGGTTCTCAAACTTGAGGAAACAAGTTAGTTTTTCTAACATGAGGGGGAGACATGATAAACAGTTGAGAAAAAGTTACATGGAATGAATTATTATTTATACATCTCGATCCTCGAATAAGATAATATGAACTTGAAGTTCATAAAAAGATAATTCATTTGCAATATATTGCAAAGCATGCCAAACGCATTTGCTGACCCAAAGAAAGTAACTATATTCTCGTTGCAAATGCTCCTATTACCTAGAAGGACAAAGTCTATGGTACGCTTAAAGCATATAGACAAATCGGTTTCAAATAAACTTCTTGATAAAGAAGATGAGCAAATGATCTAAATGATCATAATAAAGGAGGCAAGTGATCTAGAAGATCACATGACATAACACTTCATAAAATCTCATGAGAGATTCAGGTACCCGAAAATATGAATGAAGAGATCTCTATGTTATGTCTTTATGAAAAAAATATTGAAACTGATATAAAATATTTGTCGACGACATCTATAATAGCGCTAAATATATACGAGGATCTTAAGTCTGGAGAAACAATTCAAATAGAATTGGTTTCATATGAAAGACATGTAGTTTTGAACATGTAGTTCAAACACTTGAAAGTATAAAGTCGATGGCACGTGCAATCAGTTTTCGATATCTTATATGTCTAGCATGACATGAAAACTTGATATGCATCTAAAGTCTATTATATGGCTTATATGACTTAACAATCCCTGAAATGATTTTAAAATTGCTTTAAAGCATATAGAATTCTTTGATCTTTGAAGTACTACTTCCTCAGTGCAATTTGTGACACAAAATGTATCTTTGTATAACTATAGGCAGATAATATGATAGCAAGAGTTTTCACCTCTATGTGAAGATATTGAACTGACGATTCCAACAAGATCATATGAAGACAATTCATCTCTATCAAGAATGATGATTTCAAGGTGCAATATATTCATTCAAGATAATATGCCTGATTTGTTCATCAAATCTCTACCAAAGATCTTTTGAAGATGGTGCACAAGATTGGAATGCAAATGCTCAAGGATGTGAATTGATGCTCTCATCAGGGGGAGTTAATACGCGTTGTACAGATGGAATTATTTGGTTCCTGACCCTGAACCACTTGTGAGGGGAGAAAATAATATACTTTCGTATATAACGTATATCAAACTGATATATATAACTTTGTTCTCATAAGTAATAGTTTAGCTATTAAGTGGAGGCACTCAATAAATTATTTTGCTAAACCAACTGTGATGTAAACCAACTTATCAAGAAGAACTATCTTGAAAAAAATCTGGAAATTATGCTCGAAATTAAATTATTGAGCAAGGTACCTCGCAAACACCATGTTGCGGGTTAATAATAATCGCACATGTAACCATCTCGTAGAAGCATCTTATGTGGTATACATGGCAGGTGAATGAGCCCATATTCACCTTTGATATTTCCAGCATTCATGGGATTCAATCCCAATTTTAGTTGGTATATTAATTAATGAAAACAGACAACATAAGAGAATTCGTAAAGAACTTTCTAGTTCTTTAACATTTACCCATGTGAATTCTCTATCACATTTGCACATCATACTTAAATTGATATGGCTAAACCAATTATGCCAACTGAATAAATTATCAATATTGATAAACTTCAGATTTACGCCATGACGTGTGCAATTATCAATAAACTCCAAGTTTATTATGATATGGATTTTTATATCAATAAATATCTACTTTATTGCGGTATTCTTTTATTTGTGTAGTACAAACTGGAGAATAAAACGGGTAGCTTTTCACATACATATTACCCAGCTACAAGTTATAGTAATAGAAGATATTAAATCTTTCCTTGATTTATAGTCTCAATATAGTCAACCGCTTTCGCGTATACTTTGGAAACTAAATAAGTTTCTTTGAGACTTAGTACAACACAATACCTTATTGGTAATCAATTGTGTTTCTTCAAAATAGTAATAATTGGCTCTTGCAGAGTTCTCAATTAATTTTGTAGTACCACATATTCATCAACACCCATATGGTGAATATCTCTTTTAAAGAGAAAGTTATACCATTATGGTTATGGTCAAAATTATATGCAAGATCTGTTTCTTGCATTACCGTTGGCTTTTAATAATCACAATGCCAAAATATTTTGGCGTATAATAGGTACGTGACCAATGACCATTCATGCCATAATAATGACATTATTTTCTTATATCATCTCAAACCTCCTTCTAGAGGTGAGTGTGGTATATACCACTAGCACGCTCATATTCTTCCAAAAATGAATATGTATTCTTAAATCAGATGTTGTCACATTCACATCATGAATAGACCATAATCATCTATATGTGCTTTATAAAATCTCATGTCAAATCGATGACAAGTATTTTCACAAGTGGGGGATTATTTTGAGAATCCTTATTATTTTCATTATCTTGACGATTATAATTTCGTCTATTGCCACGTCCACATCCATTGATACATTCATAGTGATAATTTTGTCTTCTTTCAGACTTATCACATACTGCTATCACATTCTCTTAAGGGAATGAGAATGGAGCAAATTCAATGGGACGGGTTTCCACTTTTTGTGCCCATAATCATACATGAATTTGATCATGGCAAGACATAGAAACTTTTACCATTTCAGGTGGTTATAATTTCTTACAAACTCCATTAGAGTTGTTATCAAAATTTATTGTCTTTGTATTTAAAATCAAATTATAGAATAAAAGAGAAAAATACGGTAAAATACTTGCCTTAAATCCAGAATTTAATCATGAAGGAAGTTCATGGAATAATTGACAATCATTATGCTCAATCCCAAAGCTTCTACTCAATTGGTTAGAGTCTCGTGCTGATAACGTTTTATGAACAATAAAAGAAGAAGAAGAATATTGCAGAGAAAAGTAGAAAGAGAATTATTATTGATTTTTGGGATGAATTACAATGGAATAGAAACCCTCTATTTATAGGGAAAGGGTGACTTAGCCACCAAGTAATAAACCCTAGAATCATATAGACATTCACCATAAATAAAATTCTATTTATAACGCTCTAATTTTTTTCTTTATTTATTATTTTTCCAAAAAAAACAAAAAAAACACAAGTAGTGTTCAAGACTCCGAATTCAATCGGTCAAGTGCCTCTCGAGCAGGAGCAAAATTGGGCTGAACTTTTAGGGCTTTTTCATAAACCTCTTGGGCCTCCTCCTTTAAGCCCTTTTTCTCGTAACAATCGCCCAACAAACAAAAAGCCTTAACATTATCGCCCTTCAACCGAACTGACTCAGTCAAATCTTCAACGACCGAGTCAACTTGTCCGCGTCGACTCACCGCAACTCTTAGCTCGCTTAAACAAAGCATCCGCTTTCTCCGGCTCCGACAGCGACTTCACCGCTAACGGCGAAAGCGCGATATCAAGCGAATCAAGAGCTGACGTCTTAAATCCCTGCAAATCGAGAGCTAAAGCCTTGAGTATGTGAGCCGCGGCATCTCTCGGGTCTAAAGCGATGGCTGAGTCCGCTTCGGATTCAGCCGATTTGGCAAGCGAAGCGGCGGCGGATCGATCCTTGGCGGCGGATGATTTGGCTTGGGAAAGAACCTGAGCTCCTTGGACGAAATGGCGCTTCGCTTGCATGTCGGCTCGGTTTCGTAGACGAAGCTTCGAGAAGAATTTCTGGGGAATATTGTACATGAAAAGGAACATGAGAACTGTAGCTAGAATTAGGACTGCTTGAAGTAGAAGATCACGCCACATGTTGCTGTCGGAGAAATCCATGGTTTTCGGTTTTCTGGATTTTCTGAGGATTTTTCGATCGGGTCTTAAAAGGTTGTAAGTAGCTTTTGCAGGCGGAAGTGTTATCTTTGGCTTTAGTATTTGTAGCTTTAGTTGCTGGTAGCAAAATTTCTTTTTTCTTTGTGTTAAAAAATTTAGCTCAAAATAATAATATGAAACAAGCAAATAGACAAGAATATAGGGAGCAAGGGAGGAGAGATTCTTATTTTTTTCATATATTCAAGTGCATTACAAAATGAGTTCTCATCCTCTATTTATAGTACAACATTGAGGTATATCAAAAGAATTCCATAAATATGCTATTAAACATTTGAGATCATGGAGGAAGATCATGAGTAGGTTATGGAGGTGTGAGAGTTACAACAATAATGGTGAGAAGTAGTGGGGGTTATCTACATAATGGAGAAGAGTAGTGAGAGTTATATGTGATTAGTGGACATCCATATAAATATATATTTCATAACACTTCCCCTTGGATGTCCATAGATAATGTGCCTCGTTAAAACTTACCAAGAAAAAACCTTATGGGAAAAAATCTTAGGAAAAAGAGTACACATATCTTGTAATACGCATTACTTGCTGCCTCGTTAAAAACTTTGCCAGGAAAACCTAGTGGGATAAAATCTGTGCGAAGGGAAAAAGAGTGCAGCACGTTCTATACTCCACCTGACAAAAATATCACTTGATATCTCAAAAACGATAAATTCCAATCATGTATAACTACTTCTCAATTGCTGATGTTGGCAATGCCTTGTGAAGAAATTTGCCAAATTATCAGTTGAACAAATTTGTTGAACATTAATTATGTCTGAAATAGAACTTTAGTGAAATACGTTTTACTTTGTCTCCTTCGATAGTCCTTCTTTCAATTGAGCTATGCATGCAGAATCATCTTCAATGTAATTGAAATCTTGTTGAATATTATAATTTGGCATTATGCTCACATCCAAATAGATTATCTGAACAACGAACCATGGCCTGCATTTGTATAACCAACATAACCTTGATAATATTTGTTAGAATAAACAAATCTATATCAAGGACTTCTTTTGCAATATAATCATAATAGTATTCCAATATCTTTATATAGGAATTAAAGTATATCTCGCTAGCATATTGTTATACTCGTGGTTCTAGCAAGATACATAGTGCACCAATAAATCATGTACGCCATGATTGCTCTAATCCACATAAGGATTTGTTGAAGCTTTATTTAATAAATTTCTTGGGAACCTTAATATGTTTTAGAACAGTTTAAATCCTTCAATGATTTTTATATACGCATATCAAATTTATCAGGTATTGCCAGACTAAAATCTGAAAGCAATTATACCCACCACAAGGGAACATGTTTCCATATAATTAATGCTAGGACATTTACGTAAAATCTTGTGTCACACCACTGACTTTATACTTTCAGGTGTTGGGACTATCAGTCCAAAACTTCACGTTTTTCAAGTGAAGGCAATCTTAATTGCGTATTTTTCATTGACCAATCATTTATCTGTCCAAATTCCATGACAGATTTGAGCTCAAGATCCTCGTCAATATTAAAAATATTGAGCGCTACATTATATCAACAATATCATCGATCATCATTTTACATCGGTTCCATCATCACACAATAAAGACATAACTTATCGAGATCTCATTATTTTCAGGTACCTGAGCCTCTCCCATGAGGTTTTATAAAGTGTTATGTCACGGTGCTCTTATAGAGCACTTGCCTCCTTATTATGACCATCTTGAACATTTGCCTCTCTCCTTCTTCAAGGAATTTTATCTTTGGAACCGATTAGTCTATTACGCTTGTTGCGTGCCATAGACACTGTCTATCATGAACTTTATTCCATTTGGAGCATTAGCAGCTGAAATATGACATTTAGCTTTCGGTCAGCAAATGCGCCTGGCATAATTTTGCAAATGAATTATCACTTGAACTTCAAGTTCATATTTTCTTGTACGAAGATCTAAGTGTACTCATAATAATTCATTCCATGTATTACATTTTCAGCTGCTCATTTTCTCCCCCAAATATTGGGATCACCAACACATATTTCCAACCTTCTTTGGGGACCAATCTTTGTGCATTGTGGTGGGATAATTATATCATATCGCATATCCATATTTCTATATAGAAATTATTTGGTTCCTGACCCTGAACCAATTGTGATAGGGAGATTTATCATAACTTGTTGGCTAGATGCGTACAAGTGCTATTGTATATTAAATAATATACCTCATACCAAATGTCGATTTGGGAGTTTTATTCTCATAACCAATGGTTTAGCTTAATTTGAGGCATATAATTTCTGCTAAACCAACTTTGATTTAAACCAGCATTATCAAAATAAATTATCATAATTTATATTCTGGAACTGTGCTCTAATAACTTGAGCAAGCAATCTTGCAACTAGATGCATTTACTAACCTTCCACGGGTTACTAAATCGCATATTCCAGCTGTAAATGCTCCAATTCAAGTTGATAACCAATGCACATGTGACCATACAATAGATGCATCTATTAAAATCATATAATGGTAAACGGTCCACATGGCAGGTGACTGGGCCCATATATATATCACCTTTTATTCGTTCCAGATTTTAAGGGATTCAATCCCAACCTTGACTGGTATATCATAAAAATAAGCAACACAAGAGAATTCTTGAAGAATCTTCTATTTCTTCAATATATACCAATGTGAATTCTCAATTAATTTTCGCATCATAATTGAACCGGGATGGCCAACCAGTCGTGCCAACTATATTGTTTCAGTAATGTTAATTTCTATGGCATGTGATTCCATCACCATGCTAATCAATTTGTAGTACAAATAGAAGAAAACTCGGGTAAACCTTTCGATATTACCCCGGTATGAT